AGAATAATAAATTATATTACCTGCCATTTGTACATCTTCAAAAGACGCCAAAATTGAGTTTTCTTTGAAGTGATGCTCTCTGAAACATTTAGCAGGCCCCTACGAGTCTCACAAAGGTTTTCACATTCGCAGAAATAACAAACAAGTCAATCGCTTTGCCAGAAGATCAATAAGCGAAGATCTAATTGAGATCGAATTGCTGACTTCAATTATGGTAACTGTCATTTTTCATTTATGTTTCTATCCTTGTTGCGTTGTTTACCTTCAGACCCTTACGTAAATAAAGAAAAGAAAACACATTTTCTTCTCAAGTGTGCTGTATAATTTCGAACATTTTGCTCATTCAACATTTGCAAGTTGAATATTGAATGGAGAAGTCACTAGTTAAAGATGCGGTATGGTCTTAACACTGCATGCCTGAAAAACCAATGTGTGATGAATGTACATAAAATACAAGGATACATACTTAACATAGTGATAATAATCTATGATAGTGTTTTTATGCTCAACAAAGCACATATAGGAACTCTAAACTGAAAATCGTACATAGAAATAATATGGCGCACCAGCCGTATGTTTAATCTTGTAACATCATTGTGATTTAGCATTTACAATTCCGCGAATATTATCAACATAAATGAACCGAAATAACAATATTAGTGGAGACAATCTTTGAGACCAATGACAAATAGGAAATTCGCTCTGAATGTTTTCGCATTCTTTAAGACTTGTGACATATGGTATATTAGTAATGAAGGTTTACGCATGCGTTAAGGCCAGTGATAAGTAGCAAACGTCTGATTAGGGTGAGTTTATTTTAGAAATAGTGTGTGAAATTCTGGAACTATGATTTCCCTTTCGAGTTAGAGAAGTGGTGCTTGGCTAGACAATATTTTTCATATCAGAATATATTAAATATTAATATTATGGCATTATGTGGTATTGTGTAATTCTTATTTCATATGTTCTGTTATGTAATATCAGTCTGCATATTTATGTTTAGAGGAGACATTTATTTCGATTATTCATTGAAACCAAAGGTGCTCATTGTAAATTAATTCAAAGAAGTTCTGGACAAGGTTACCATGATACATCAAGACTAATGTAGACCAATACATATAAGGGTCTTGAATTCATTCGGAACATTCAACACGTTTGAGCTTGCATAGATATTTTTTAGGACTCTTTTTGGGATTTGATTCATATTGCTGAAATATCCTCTTAAATTTTCATCATAATTACATTTTGTGTTTTGCTTTGCAAAAATTATTTCTCTGTCAATGACCAGGAACATGTGACTGTACAACATGAGTTGTATTTCAATTGCTGACATCTCCACTATTACATTGTTTGATAACCCAGGAACACTGTAATAGTGACCCTAATTTAGTACATTCCTAAATTCCTCTAAACTCTCACTATTATACATACATACATACATACATACATACATACATACATACATACATACATACATACATACATACATACATACATACATACATACATGCATGCATGCATGCATGCATGCATGCATGCATGCATGCATGCATACATACATACATACATACATACATACATACATACATACATACATACATACATACATACATACATACATACATACATACATACATACATACATACATACATACATGCATGCATGCATGCATGCATACATACATACATACAGAAACTGATTTCTTACACATGCATATATCTCAATTTTACCGATAAAGACGTTTTTATTATCTCGTTCAGTGAATTGAAATATATACAAATCTGTACCGTTTCCGTTGTAAATTCTACAACATTTTATATTGCTACCTTTATTTGATTTGTAGTTGTATTGTCTTTCCTTTATAATTAAATTTTATAAATAAATAAATGCTCTTAAACAGTTCAAGAAAAAAAGGTAATGATTTAGAGTAAATTTACACGACGAAAAAAATGATGTGAAAAATGGTGTAGTTTACGCAAATAGTAAAACGACGAAAACAAAAAAGACAGATGTCATACACAATATCTTCACAGTCTCCAAAACACTGGATATAGGACCCCCCCCCAAAAAAAAAACACTTATCTAAACGACTGAATGCATAGAGAAGCACAAGCACACTTCGTCACTAGCACACTTGGCTACCAGTCACACTGGTCAACCAAGCAGTCAGCCTTTCGTGTAGTTACCGACCACGATTAAGTTTCTTAGTCAATCAGGCAATCAGTGCCCACCAATCGGTCAGGACCGCCGATCACCTGATACTCGACCAGAAACACATTCACTCAGCTTTACATCTGCTATGATCAGTTTCTATGGCTAGCTCTACGGCTGGTACCTCGACTCCGATCAGATGAAAATAATCTAACAGCGAGTACTGTGCATGACACGGGTATATACGATAACATTTGGGGGCTCTGAGTGGCCGAGTGGTCTAAAGCGCTGACCGTTCCAGATCACTGCCATCTCACCTCCGTCTGCGGGAGTTCGAGCCCAGACTCGGCTAACGTGGGTAAGTGAGAAAGCCTGCCAGTAGCTTCTCGTGGGTCGGTGGTTCTTTCCTGTGTTTTCCAGGGTTCTTCCTCACCATTAATACTGGCCGCCATGTATAGCCTATCTTGTGCTGAAAATGGCGTTAAACCCTACAACAACAACAACAACAACAACAACAACAACAACGATAACACGTAATGACGTTATATACGGTAAACTATACAAATTACATTATGAGCATAACACTTTTGTAGCAACAAGAAAAACAAAACGGTTCAGATGTGAACCTACAATTGTCCGATAAGAATACTTTGGTATAAAACGTTTCTCGAAAATACAATATAAATCTCTTGCTAAGTCACAAAAATGAATACAAAATATTTGCATTATATTATGCAAGCCGGAGTTAAATCAGAATTATAAAAAAATAAAAGTGGTAGTAAAATAATTATAACTTAGACAAAAAAGTAATAAATAATTCACATACCTATACAGATGAAGTTGTGCAATTCTTTAAGTACATATACTGCTTACTGACAAGACAATCCGTAATGTAAAGATTTAGTTTACGGTTAGGTATTTATACACTGATTATGCAGTCTACATCGTCTGTAAGCTAGAAGTATTCGGTTTTTTCCATCAAAAGCACTTCGTACGTGCGACATAGGATAAACCGAATTCACTGTTTTGAAACATTGTACAATATGCTTAAATCACCCACGGATATCATGTTACACAAAAAGCGAAACCGAGAACATGAATTTAATAAATAAAGGGATTTATACCATTTCGTTACAATGATACATTAATACTGTTGACACATGAACATGGAATTTATTTGGAACATTGCTGGAACTCGACCTTTGCGCTTGTGATAGTACTTTAATGACTATTCGGGATTTAATTCACAATATTGTAAAGTTCCTTTCAAATTGGCACTTTGTATTCTAGGGAAATAAATTACAGATTAAATTTTACTAAACGATTTCGCTCTTTTCTATTATTTAGTTTAAGACACCGCTGTGGTGACCTAGTGGAAAAGCGTCCGAATCGGTGAGGAGGTCGCAGGTTTGAACCATGGCCGAGTCATACCAAAGAATTTTCAACATGGTAATAACAGCTGCCTCGCTTGGTGCTCAGCATTAAGAGATTAGTGTTAGGAATGATTAATCTGGTGTCAGGATAGTGTGTTTGGGTGGGATATCATGCTACATGTCTGTGGCAGTATGTCCCGGTGCTATACATCACAATAAACTGGCAATCTGCAGACATCGTAGTGATATGACTGAGATATTTATAAAGCTACGTTAAACATCTAAATGAATCACACACACACACGCACACACACACACACACTTAGTTTAAGACTATAGAGTCATTCCAAATATTATCTTAAATAAACTTTCAAAGTCATTATTGCCATATGTATTTCAACATTTGGTAATTCACAATGCTTATACTATTTCAAGTCTGGAGAATTTGAAGGGCATATAATTGTAGTTCCCTTAATTCGTATTGATTCGTTGAGCATTCATGCCTTCGTTGACCTGTTCTGCAATGTAATGAATTGTTTTGTCTTTCATTTGACTAGAAATATTTCAACATATTAAATTAGTTTGAAGGGCTTTTAACATTAAACTAGTTTCTACTAGTCATTAATATATATTATCTGAATCTTATCATTTGCAAATTTATTACCTTCATTGTCTGAGGTTCTGCCCTTCTGGTGAGTCACAATCGAATCTGTTTCATTGAACAACCAGCAAGTATCTGGTTCCCTATATTTCTTGATCATCAAGCTTCTAAACAGCGTTTACTTAATTTTAATTATTGTTCAGCGTTCATGTAGCAGCATTGTTTTGAATCATATGGTCAAATTCAACCTGAGACCCATTCCTAACGTACTTCTCAAACATTTTAATACAAAAAGGAGTTACATGTTTTACATTTATAATTTTTTCAAGATCTGTGTATTTTTGTTTGGCATATTAGTGCTTTAGTCAAGATTTTGTTTGACTCCATACAAGAGCAATTGAGTTGATTTGCTTTTAACACTCATAAACAACCAAATCATGACAAATATAGTGGCAAAAATTCTAATCAGTCATTATATTCAGTGAAAGATATGTTGATTTGTTTTGTTCTTGTTACATATCTTTGAGTTTGTGACAGCTGATTCTGCTAAAAATGGAGAAAAATTTGAGTGCAGTATTTTTACTTGATGACATATACAGAACAAACTAATGATGTTGTTTTATATTAGTTCGTAGAAGAAAAGGAAGTGCGTAATCGCAACGCGTAATTACGAATTTAAAGACTGTCTCGAAGGAAATAAATTACCGTAAATAGGAAGCTTAAATTATAGCGTTGTTATCAGACTAGTCATTATATCTTGGATGAGTCATTAAATATTGTCAAGAATGACGAATCAATTATTGCATCTCAGTTTATTTGACTTTGTCTTTTTCTACAACGAATAGACATTATGTACCTTCTTGATAAAGACCGCTCCTATGGCCTAGTGGTTAGAGCGTTCGCCCCGGATGCGGGAGGTCGCGGGTTCGAACTCCTGCTAGGTCATTTACGATTTTAAGAAATGGATCTTGGCGCATAGCATTAAGAAGCTAGTGTTTGGGCTGGTCGGTCTGGTGTCAGAATGATGTGACTGGGTGGGATATCAAGCTACATATCTTCAGCATTATGCCAGTACTACAAAACACTATAAGCTGTCACACTACAGACATCGTAGCGATATGTCTGAACAATTTTTAAAGCTACGTTAAAAATCTAAATCACACACAAATCACACGCTTCTTGAAAGATTTAGAAATAAATTTAGAAGCATATTAAGAACGGTGCAAACTTAATGAACCTTACTTTATGCTACATTACCTAAACTTAATAATTCCAGTCAATGCGATAATCATAATGAAACACTATGAATTGTAGTGGAATAAAGAGAATTCTAATTGCGAGCGGTATGCAAAGTCTCAGTAATTTGAACTGCGGCAGTAGTGGTAGATGCAGTACCCAACATGTTGAATTAAAGTGTTCCTGTTTAGACTGCACGAGAGAACATACTCATAATTCTGAAGCACGAGGCAAATGTTTATTCGCTTGTTGAAAACGTGTTTTGTTTTTTTTCTCTCTCTCTCTTTTTAAATAAATTGGGCCTATTGGACTAATATAGATTTACACGAGAAATATCACAAAGCACTTTTTTCTTATTCCATCATTCTAAATTGCCAAATTTATATATAGTTAATCTTCCTAAGATGATTTCATGTCGTAAGAAATTCTCCAAAGGAAACAATGAAATCAGTGAAAAATAATTCCCTTTATAGCCAAAACATATAAAGTATGACATCTAATTATTTGCAATTTGTAATAATTGATGCATAATTACTTAGGTATTGGATGCTGTTAGGGACTTAGTTTTTCTGCGAAAGTGTGACAAAATGTTTGCTGAGGGTTCTTCATTTTGCTAAGGTGAGATTTGTTGTAGGAAATTGACGATAGCCGTTCAAAAAAATTTGGATGTGCAGCATTACTCCAAATAAAAACAAGTTCATATTTTACCTTACAAATTCAGTAACATATTTATTATGTACATATTTCCATTTTCTCTGTAAGGCTCGATAGTAAAGGATTACACTTCTAGAAACAAAATAATTGAATGTATACTATATTTCAAAATAATTACACAACTGTAGATTCATCAATACACAGTAACAATATTACTGCACATAGCACCCTCCAAGCAACTTTTAAACTTTTCACATGCCCGACATTAGTTTAAATATTTTTGTTTTATCTACTTAAAATTAAACTTTAGAGTCATATTATGAATGAATTTGCATTGAGAAACCTGTTTGGTTGATCTGGAATGGATAAATTTTGTTTGTCTATTGATCCAACACAATTCTGCTTTTCTGGTTATGATGGACTACATTTATTTGGTCACATCAGTGCAGTAAGGAGAATGTTATTTCAGTTGGAAATAAAGTCGAAACTACAGTACAATTTCAGGTTTCCATGATATAGGTCATGTTACTCAGATTTGCAGAGCTCACTTTTAAAGTACATTTTGAGGAAACTCAAGATGCATAAATGTATGTATTTCTCCTGTATGCAAAAATGTAAATGTATTTATTACCATTCTTATTATCAGTTAAAGAAAATACATGTTAATGCCCTGTCACTTGCAATCTGTATGTTTGCTGTTGGAGGAACCCCAGCTATGACCTGTATCACACAGTACATGTTTTCTATTGATAGCCTAATTTTGTGTCAAAAGGTTTTAAAAGGGAAAGCTTTGAGTGTAATATTCTGTTTATCCAACGGGATTAATACTTTTTTGTTTTGATTTATTGGCTCTGACTTTTTTTAGTTTCCTATCATAACCTTGCGTTGCTTTTTTAGTATTTAGACTGACTTGTAAACTGATACATATCTGATAGATATACGATAGCCCCTAGCCCCTATTATCATTATGCTTTTCTGTGCTATTTTATAGACCCTAGAGAACATTGATTATAGTATGAACCATTCTATTTGCAAACGTTAGGAAATTTTTCTGCTGAATAACTGTTTAAATGATCGGAATTGCTGGATCTCTAGTGTGTTATTGACATTGGCAAGTCCGTTTGTTTGTTTGTTTCAAAGTTTAATGTGTAACTTAGTAAACTCGTTCTCAAAATTAACTTTATCATCTCTACTTTCAAAATAGACAAAACAGCTTGTTCAGTTCATTCACAGACGAATCTAAGCAAACAAAAACGTCAACAACATAAGTGTACATCATTTGTTCACGATGTAGGTCCTAACACACAACATTCTTTTGAGACACAGGTTCAGTGTAGTATAATGTGAATTATTTAAACACTTTGCACGATTCGATAAGATAAAGTTAACGGGAAACAAACTGAGCGTATAATAATATAGTTGATGACACTTATTAAACTTTTATTGAATTATGCGTATATTAGTTTGTGCTCATTTTTGATGCTATGAAAATATCAACAGGAAAAAAGGAAATAACTTCAGTGATTTGGAATGAATTGAACGAGAGATCGAGTAGTGTCCAGAAGATAACACCATAGTATATTAGTGCAGAAAGAGTGTATGTCATGAATACCAAAGATGGGCAAATAATCATATTCTGGTCTACTGGGTATGCTGTCTTGTTCTTATCGTATCACGAATGTCTTATATATATATATATATAAGTCTTATGTCTTATATATATATATATATATATATATATATATATATATATATATATATATATATATATATATATATATATATATATATATATATAATTTCCTTTTCAGAAATTAATGAATGAATCGTTGACTCTGGTTCATAAATGTCGAGTTGTACAGAAATTGTTTAACCGTCAGTTTTCTAAACGTGCAGGCATTGTTTGGAGGAATTGGGTTTTCATTCACATATCGCGAGACGTTTCACTCTGAAAATGTTTAATGTTCTAATAGACAATTTGTTAGTTGTTACGAAGAAATAGATTTAATAGTGGTCGATATCACCTGAGTATTTAAAAACAGATTCGGTTAAAATATTTGATAGAAATCAATATTTTAATGATCTATTAAAGTTTCGCTTTTTTCAAGAAAAGAACGTAACTTTGATAAGTGATTAACAAACACGCAACATTACTTTTGTCTACCATCCCATATACATGATGTATAGTTCCAAACCACAGCAAACAAATCAATTAAAATCCTTCAATTGCAGTTGTCAAGTAAAATAATATAGCCAGTCATAAAAAGGTGTAATCTTTATACAGGCTCTCATGTTGCTGAGCAGTGGAACTTGTAAATAGAAGTGAGCGGGTTATATTTTTATCATCTGGTCACCTCAGATAGAATACCATTGTGTATCCTTGGGTAATCGAATATTCAGTGTTAATGTGTTGTAAAATAGCAATCCAATCTTTGGTTTTTCTCACAACGAAATCCAGCTAGAGTATTTGGCACTAATGGATCCTCAGTGCCAACTTATGAAGTTATTTTCACTGGAACATCTCGGGACGTGTAAACATTGTGAAAGAGAAGAGACCAGTTTGTATGCACAATTGAATTATGTATTTGAAGGATTTGACTTTCTTTGTGATCATCGTTATTTTATCTCTGACTTAGATATACATGATTATGATGATTTTTCCAGTCCATATACCTACCTATCTAACTACACACCAACCCTTCCACACACTTTCATGCATACATACATATATACCTACATATCTGCATCTTTATAAGGTTTTAATTTTAAAATCAGTATTCCTAAAGGCAAAAGGTAAAAGTATATCTATATAAGACATACTGAAGTTTTGTTATCGATTGATACGGATCACACAAGTATTTATACCACTGATGCAACACTGCTTCGTCCGAGAGGAGTCCCAAGGCGCCATCCAGATAATCATCCAATTTGTCTTCTTGACTCATCATCAGACATTTATTGTATTTATTTGACTGTGATGATTATTTGACATCCATCACCTCTTCGTCTTTGTCTTCGTTTGGTGGGTGGTTCTGTTCCACGATATCCTCTAATTCAACATTAAAGAAAAGAGTCTTTCATAGTTTCTAACAGTCTAGAATGACTTCTCTCAAACTGTTGATTTAGACAATGTTCTCGAATTCGGCATACAAGCTGACGTACACATTTTCGATTAGAGCTTTTGCACACTGATGTTCCACACGTAGTTGACCGGATTTTATTGCGTGGAAATGTCCATCGTCGCTGCCTTGGTCGGTAGTGAAATCACAGGCCCACAAAGCGTAGCCTCATGCATAATCGTCGTACGAAATGAAGTGGATTATGTTGGTCCATAATTGTTCCATGGCTTCGTAAAAGGTCAAGTATATGTCAGGTAATTCTTCTCTGGCTGTCCTTTGATCTCAAATTCGATTAGGGCTGGGGTGTAAAAGAGGAGATTCATGATATTCTACTCCTTGGGATTCTTGCATCGTCATCATAGTGGGTGGCATGCAAACAGACTCGGTGCATCATTTTTCTCTGTTATTTAAAAATCAAAAACATCTAATTTTTGGACGGTTCTTCTTTCTACCTTGTCCTTGCCTTGGTGTGGAGTCAGTCGAAGTAGGAATACCTGATTCGGCAGCGACCAGGCCATCTATATGAGTTTCTCATCGACTCAAAATGTCTTTGCCAGTTTGAAGCAAGACATTTTTGCCTGCTATTAAGGAGGCTTCTTAGGGTTTTGTTTGTGGATGATGAAATTTTGAGGATGTTCTTTGCCTTGCATTAAAGCGGCATCTTTCAAGGCCTAAAACATTAATGTCACCATCGATTTCAAAACGGTGGCAACCGAACAAAACGCCGATTTCAACATATCTCGTTCCCGCTATTAAGTGAATCCTTAGTCGTTAGAAAATTGTCTTCGAAAATGGAGTTTGACCGCAACTTTCCTTTGGAAAATGGAATAATTTTGTCCCAAATCTCTTTTCATACCAATGTTGACACTGTTGGAATACAACTTACTGGCGTGTAAATTGTAAGGATGTACAAATTCGCGGTGAACGTGATATATGT